AGCAACTAGCAGCAAATGGAAAATAACGAGCAAGGCCAGTGTCTCCTGAGCCACTGATACTTGGTTATGTTGCCTGGTTTCAGGTCCAAAATGCATATATTTAATCATGTTGTGAATATATATATTATATATATACATATAACATAAATATGCTCAAATGTTTTCCCCCTTTCATATGAATACACTCCCAGCCTTATAAAAAATTATACACAACACACCACTCTATCTATTGCTATAAGCAACTGCCTGTAAAGTTTATTTATTTCACTTAGACATTCTCAAACAAAGGTTTAATCCACAGTCTCTTAAACGGGGCCCTTTTCCATGAATTCCGTTTGTACCTTGTTCATTAATATGGAAAGTGTCTGAGGACTTTAATTTAAAGTGTCTTGATTTCCTTGAAGATGCTGGCACACAGTATGAGATTAAAATAACCTGGCGTCACAGGTTCTTTTGCCCACGAATACCAAGGGGAGTAAATATTAGAATGATGGATTATCTTTCCCTTGTCAACCATGAGTATGTTCCAATCTGGGGCAAAGTCTAGAGAGCAATTTAAAAATAGACATATAGACCCAAAGAGTCTCTTTATTCTTTTATTCAGTTTATTAAAATACAAGAACAGATTGTAAAAACACACATACCACTCAGCACCAATATAATAACTCTTTCTACTCATAATCTCCAACATATTTCTGTTTCTGCTCAACTGAGAAGCCAAGAAATACACACAGGCATCCTCACCACATTCCCCCAGTACTCATAGCATCATTTCCCGAAGGTTCTCCTTGCTAGAGAGACAAGGATGGGGAGAGGCATACCAGTGTGACTACATCCAACCACTAACTGAGTCGGTGCCTCTTTCATCAGCAGTTATCATTTGCACACTAGTTGCCTCTGCACATCCTGGTCTCCCCTTCGGGGACCCGATTACGTGGGCTAGTGATAGAGTCCAGTGACAATGTGATGCAAAACTAAATAAAACTGGCCAACATCCCCTCCCCCAAGTCTTTGCCTGGCTTTGGTTACAAAGTACTGGCTATTTATGTCTCTACATTTCCCCGTCCTGCCACACATAAAAATCATATCAGCCATTGACATGGTATGGAGAAGTCTTGCAAGAATTGTATTTACCCCTACCCCCATCTTCTGGGTTTATCTCTTTGTCCTAACTACAATTTTTGAGGGGCGGGGTGGAGGGGAAGGAGGTTGAGCCAAAAGAGTGACTTCATTAAACAGCTGCTAGGTCTTCGAAGGCTCCACAGTAAATAATAAATAAACTCTCTGGCCCTGTGATGCTGCTGCCCAAAATGGGCAGCAAGCCCCGACTTGCATGAGTTGTCTTGTTTGGATATCTGTACAAGTTTGCTTTCTATTCGTTCAGACTCACCTTGGAACAGAACAGGGTCTGTTAGGTCTGAGCCTTGACTTCTGGCACTGTCAAGAATCTAGGGGACTAGCAAAATGCCCCAAGGCTTTGCTCATCCTAAACTCACTCCACGACATTCAGCAGCCCTCCTCCAGTGGTGAGAATATCCTTTCTTCTCTTCCCAAAGTCAGTAGCCTGATTTCAGGGCCTTCATGGACTAGTTCTTCTAGTTAGAAACTCCCCGACTCTTCCTGTCTCTGTCTCTTTCTTTCATAAAGATGGCTGGAAGGTGCTGGCAAGAAAGTGTTGATTCCAGAATGGAGCTTCGTACAGGTGACTCTTGTGAAGACTCGGTTTCTATTTCTAAGGTACAGTGGAGAACAAGGGGTTGGAATATAACAGAAGACACTTTCGTTCTGATGTCTGGTAATATTCCCCCCCCCCCATGCTCCTAGAAGTAAAAGCCTATGAGGCATGGTTTTGGATCCTTCAAATGCTGGCGATGGTCTTCACTAAATCATTGGGACAGAAGTCATTGGCTACATTTCCCCCTTTGAAATAGATCTGGGATTCTTTATTTAAGCCCACTCCCAAGCCCCACCAAGCCTCAGAGATTGGGTTGTTGTCCAGAACCCCAAATTATAATTCACAGAACAGAAATCCCCAAACATAGATGCTTTCCTCTTGCTCTGGACAGAAACCCATAACGTATATCGAGGGGACCTTGTGCCCACCCAGGAATTTTCTCCAAGGCATTGATATTGCCTTTTACCTGCTTCTCTGGTATTTTATGCAAAGCAGGGCCCCTGTATGACTTCGCCATATTTCATAAGTTTTATTTAAGAGCCTACATAGTGAAATGCACTGAGGCAAAATTAATGAGATGAGGTTTTTATTCCCTTTTGATCAGCGAATAAGCATTCCCTGATGAATATTTGAAATAGGATATTTGAAGAAGTCAATAGGCTATTTAGAAGTTGATATTACCAAAAACCAGAAGCATATTCTATTAAAAAGGTGACATAAGACCAAGATCCAAAATTTGAATACAAAAGCCACATCAGTTAAATGACTATCATTTTAGTTATACAAAACAAAAGTACAGTTACTAATCTGCCTGTAAGGAGATCAGTTACATTTTAATAGCTGTATTAAACACTTCTGCATTATTTTGCAGGCATTTCATTCATGCCCATTCAAGAAAGTAATTGTCGATTCCACCAAGCAATAAAAAAAGAGATAGTTTTGAATAGTTCCAAGACATAAATTTTCCAAACATGAAATGTTTGAGTAAATCCAGATGCTATAATAACATATAAAATTGCTTGGAAACTAGTAATAATAGGCAAGCTAATTCAGTCTAAAAGGTTAAACTGATAGCTCCTTGTAAACATAGCTTATGGGCGGAAATATTTAAATACTAAGAAGTACTATAACTATATATACATATGCAGATATATATACATATGTAAATATGTGTATATATATATATTTTTTCTTTTTGAGAACAGAACTACTATGTTTCCGAGGAACAAACTTTATGAAGGCCCGAACAACAGAGTAAGTGGGTAGGTATTGACAATCTCATGAATTTTCTGAGCACCCAGCAAAGCATTGAGTCCTCTCTATCTCAAATTATGGGCTCTTGTGATGTATCCAAAAAAGATACCTCACAAGAAATCATAAAGTTTTGTCACCAAGATTATGGTATAGAATGACAGGCTTACCAAAACATAATATCAAACCATTCGACCTGCTGTACAACTTCTGAGCTTTGTCAACTCACTTTTTCCACTGACCCTACATTAGACTGTCTTCCAGAAAACTCTTATTTCTTTGATTACACATTTCTTTCTCCTGGATATTTAGCCTAAGCCTTTGGGTGCCTACCTACTTTCTCTGCTGCATTACTCCACTGGAATATTCTCAGCAAAGAGAACAGCCGCTTACACAAGCTTCTCTGTCTTGAAATGATTTTCCATCGCCTTCTTCATCAGACTAACACGGCTTTCACCAAATCTCAACCCCCCACCAACTTCTCTGACATCCTATTCCATCAATTTACACCTAGAACAAAGGAGAAGTTTAAGGACAATGTGGTGAATGTGCTGCCACCAATTTTTCGTTTGATTTCTTGAGAGGGCCACATAAATCTCAACACCAGTTTAAAGATAAAAATCAGGGAGGGGGAGCCTGATAAGCCCTTAGTATACTGTGTAACAATTTGGGGATCTGAAAGAATCTCTTCCTAATATGATTTGCCAGCAAGCCGTTAGATAAAAACAGCCTGTTTTCAAAGTTAGCTTTGTGTCTGTTCAGATCATATTTATGGAATTTAAAAAGACTGGAATTTAGATGTTTACATACAAAAAAATCAGTATCAATGGCGCTTCACTAGCTTAACCATAAACCAACTAGTGAAGTGACTGATATTTTACTCCAGATTTTATTTCTATTATTAATAACTTTTGGTTATTGCTCACACAGTTCCTGCTTGATCATCCTCATTTCAGGAAACTAGTACGGGAAGATTTTTCTCAGCTACCTATTCATTTTTCTGTATGTTTTAATTACTAATAGAATGGTCATCAGAACCTCTGTACTCATCAATACAAACACAGACTACAATTTTGATGGCATCCTCAAATTAAAAAAAAATCATGACACAAAAGGGGTTGGTCTGGTCATTTTTTTGAAGGATAGGATCCTTACATATTACCTATAGGTAAAATCAAAACCATAGTGTCTTCCATTTAAAGGGCTCTATAGATACTAAGGTCTAGCCATCTAAGGCTTCTATACAACATGAGGGGATATAAAGGGTCACTATGAGTCACAATTGACTTCACAGGGTCACTCTGAATCAGCAATAACTCAAGCACAGTGATATA